CCATTTAAGGTTGGTCAAACTTGGTGACAAAGTAATTTTTTTTTAAAAAGGCGGGCTCCGTCAGGACTGGAACCCATAAGCGTCTAGCCGCAACATCACAGCAGCTCCTAATAAACCTCTGTTCCATTAGTTTATTACAGGAAAAAAACAACAGATGAAATTTATCAGCTTTACAAGAACATAACAATGGAGAACAGGCTTTTATCAGTGTACCGAAACAAAATGTGGTTCTGTTTTTTTTAAAATAAATGCTTGTTGCCTCTTTGCACATCTTGATTTTTTCAATTTTGCATTCCATTTTCACTACTTTACTATAACTGGCACTATTATGAGATTCCCTTATACAAAACCTTGGGCATGTTTACATAATTCAGTATATCTGTATGAAACTAGCTTTTTTTTTCTTTGTTAATAGATTAGTTCAAGAAAAAATTTAATTTTAAGATAATAATGTAGCATGTTCATGAAGCCTTATTACAGGTTTTCGAAAACAGAGTCTTACGACGAATCTTTGGACCCATCAAAGATGCAAACAGAGGGGAATGGAGAGTGAGAATCAACAATGAAATTCATAATCTGTTTAAATCACCACTCATCACTGGTATCATGAGAGCTAATAGAGTGAAATAGTTGGAACATATTGAGAGAATGTCAGATGACAGAGAACTAAAAACTGTATACACCAAGGAGATTTATGGTCGTAGACCACGAGGCAGACCAAGAAGACGATGAGAGATAAAATCCAGACAGATCTGCAAACACTTGGTGTCACCAACTGGAAAGAGAAGGCTAACCAGAGAGATGAAAGGAGGCGGGTGATATCTGCAGCAATGTTCTCAAGGGCTCACAATGCTGAAGTAGATGAAGAAGATGTAGCATGTTCATTGCAAAAAGTTACTCTCATTGAGGCAGGGCTGACAGCAACACAGTTGCCAACTTTTCCACCCTATTAACTTTTATACTCAAGGTCTCCTTGATATTCTGTGTCCACGCTTGTGCTCATCAACACTTTATTGTTCTTTTAGAAACCATATCTTCCATTACTGCTCTGTCCACTCCCATTGTGGTATTTTTTAGTTACTGCCGATGCCGCTCACAGCTTTTTCTGGCCAGTATTTATTTGGGTGGGCATATGTGTCATCCATGGCCAAACAGAAATACGATTTCTATTGGAGATACGTCAGTTAAGTGATTTTTGTGTGTATTCCTGCTCTTATTTGTGGTCTTAAAGATTTAGGTAATGTGCTGATAAAGGCTCTATAGCCAAAACGCTGATCTGTTTGTTCTTTGTGTTTGTTATACTGTGAAGCTATCAGGTTATACTTTTCATATAGTTTGATATCTTTTCATTGTATTATAATTTCAAGACAGGTGTTTATAAACAAGATATACCATAAACGTGTTCATAATCAAATACCTTTTAAATGTAAGTTAATGTTAATATTAAATTTTGTAAAAATAAAATTCTACAACAAATAAATGCTCATAAAGATACATTTTTTATAGCAAAACCGGTCTTATTATGACAAAAGTAAAAATAGTGTAGATATGATTTGAAGAATAAATAGTTTTACAAGATGTATATACATATATATGGGGCGGAAACATGGAGAACAACCAAGGCAATTACTAATAAATTACAGACATTCATTAACTGGTGCCTGCGCAGAATAGAGGGAATAAAATGGTATGATAGAATAACTAATGTAGAACTTTGGGAGAGAACTAAACAGGCTCCAGTGGATCAGGAGGTGAGGAAAAGACGCTGGCGTTGGATAGGGCACACACTGAGAAAACAGGAGAACAGAATAACTAGAATGTCTTTGCATTGGAACCCACAGGGGCATAGGAATAAAGGAAGGCCAAAAAACACATGGAGAAGAGAGCTGGAGAATGAGGTTAGAAAGATTGGGAGGACATGGGGAGAGCTCCATGTAATGGCGAAGGATAGAACGACTTGGCGTGAGTTGGTTGAGGGCCTATGCTCCATTGGGGGATAGAAAGGCAGAAGAAGAAGAATATGCATATATATTTTCATTAATATAATCAAACTGGTGAATATCAGTTTCTATAATGAAAACAGATTTTCTAAAGTCAAATGTTTGTTTTAAAGACATTTGTGTAAAAATAAAACATACAATGCACATTGCTGACCTATGTCCTTACAATTCCTTTTTTTGTGTGTGTGCCTTTTATCCTTCCAAAGAAATATAGTCTCTCAACCAGATCATGCCAAGAAGTGCTAAATGCAACATATATAGTGACCTGAATGCTCAATAGAGGAAACAGGAAAGATGTGCACAAATACAACCAAATGTTTCAACCCAAGTCTTTATCAAACAGAGCACTACACACAAGACTCACTCGTTGTCTTGTCCGTTGAGTATTCCAGTCGCAGTTTGTGTTGTATTTAGTACTCCATTGATAAACACTTTAGTCGAAACGTTTGGTTGTATTTGTACGTATTTTCCATTTCCTCTGTTGACTTGCCAGTCACATTTTATGTTGTATTTTGCATTCCTTGTCTGACTGCAGTTTGCCGGCTATTTCCATTATCACTTTCAATCATGCCAAGCCATACTATGTGTTGCAGGTCACACTATATTCTCATATCACCTGATGGGTTCTGCAGTGAAAATCACACTAGTCCCCCTTATTTCCCAGTGAATTTCTTGATACAGTGCAGATCTGATAAGTAGAACTCACCAGGGACCTAAGAAATGGTTCTTCTTATCAGAAATTCCTCTTATCCTGATATGAGTTCAAGCAAGAAGAATGGCCAGCAATAAACAAATTGTTCTTCACAACAGAAATTCACCACATACGAGATAGCTTTAAGCAGTCTGCACTGAACCCACTTTAGGCTGGACTGACCTGGGTTCCATAGATCAAATATAAAATTCAGCTTCAAAGCGATTATAACCC